AGCATTTGAGAACCGTTTCATTTAATAACAGTGCTGGAGAAAATATTTTCTTTGATCAAAATGGAGAAATAGCAACTGGATTTGATGTCAGCAACTGGGTCATTTTCCCCAACCAATCCTTTGATCGAGTCAAAGTTGGGAAGGTAGATCCCTTTGCTCCCCCAAACAACCTGCTCTCCATTTCTGCACAGGACATTATCTGGCCCACCACGTTTAACCAGGCAAGTTCTGCACTATTTTCAAAATAGGTAGAATCAATTCCCCTTTATTTAAATAGGCTACTGAGAGTAATCAGAAATTTCAAGAATGTATGGAAGGGAGAAAAAAACGTTGTTTAACATTCCATCCAGAAACTAATTTCACCAAACCAGTACAGCCAGATTCTGCATGAACTGAAAGATCGTGAACCTCCTATAAACTATCCATTAACTTGAGCATGACTGGGTCTGTTTGCATCCCATAACCTGGTTAGGCTCCAGCTTGGTTTCTTTGGCTTGGTCCAATCTGAAACTTTTTGAATATTTGTGCAGAATCTTAAGAGTCTCTCATGGTTGCAAAGGAATGCCACTCTTGGATGGGGAATCTTACGAAAGCCTTGAATTGATCATCAGTGTTCAGACTGGGTTAAAGAAATTACATCATGCCAAGTGAAAGCAATGTTCATATCATACCCAGATAGAAATATTTGATATGTGTATCAGAGTCAGGGGAATTGTGGCTTCCAGGGAAGAAATGGCCGATGGAACACAGCTCTGTTAATTTTGGAGACGATGCCCAAGTCACTTAGAGGAGTTGGCCCCCGTCTAGCTCTTTGGAATCATCTCTAGATAAAAGAGATTGACAGGATCACCCACAGGTACCCCCTACAGAGATTCCTTGTGAAGAGATTGCAAGAAAAGATTGTTGGATTGTTAATATTGAATTTTCTTTTTCTGACCAGGACTGTGATGATTTATACCTCTAAAATTGATTTATTTGGTTTAGTTTAAAACACGTATGAGATTATTATTGGTCTTTTGTATGCTTAAGGGGAGAGATCTTTCAGGTTTCACTCCTCAGAAAAATGAAGAAGCTAAAATGCAAAATTGACTTATTTGTTTAAGCTTAAAATATATAGTTTATTATTACTGGCACTCTTAATCCTTTTGCTGATTAGACTGATTGTTGATTTTTTTTTAATAATTCGGTTATTGTTTATGGATGAGAAAGGGGATAAAGAGAGGGTTTTTTTTTTTTTTTTGGTTATAATAGAGAAGGTGTTAAGTTACTGTTAATACATATACTTGTTTGGAGGGAGGCAGAAGTCATCTTTTACCTTCCTTTCTCTCTTTCTTTCTTTCTTTCTTTCTTTCTTTCTTTCTTTCTTTCTTTCTTTCTTTCTTTTCTTTTTCTTTGTAGGTATTTTTTAGGTTTGTATTAGTTTTTTTATGTATGTAAACTTTGATAAAAATACTTTAAAAAAAGAGCCAGGGGAATCCAAGATATTTAACTGCAGTAATTTTGAATATTAAGGAGAAATTGATCAATATTCCATTATTGTTTTGATAAAGGCACAACCCTTTTCTGTATGCAACAACCACTGCATTTCAGGGTATAGCAGGATAAAAAGAGAAGGGAAGCCATTTTGCTGCTATGATTGCCTTCAGTGTCCAGAAGGGGGGATTTCAAACAAGACAGGTAAGAGATGTAATATACGGAACGTACCTGATATACTTCACGGAACCCAAGTTTATACTTTGAGAAGTTGGTGATTACTGGTAGAAGAACTTTCAGAGGGTAGAGTGCCAGTATTGTTTGGCTTATAGAAACATGGGCCTCCGGTCTGCCATGGAACATACATGATCATGTCTTCCGGGGGATACAGCAGTGAATATGTAGAAGCCCCACTGGGTGGTTTTGTTTGTGAGATTCCTCTGCTTTCCAAAATGAAGCAATTGTCCAAGCTGGAACAAAATGGAGATCCATGCTGAAGGTGTCCAGCTTGGATAGCCTACAGTACACTCTGCTATGTGCATAGAATCCTGCAGAGTGGAATGAAAATGCGCACTATCAAATCTGAAGTAGACGTGCAACATCTGCTAATGACTGACAAGAGGAATGGAAAACAAGAATTATATTACACAGAGGAGTTATGGGACCAGAAGGCTGTTAAGAAAAATGAAAGAAATCTAGCCTAAACAAATTGTACCCCTTTTATTTTCATCAAGGAAAGTTATTCTTAAAAGAGTGAACTGTCAGGCCCAGCCTAGGAACAACAGAGAAACAGTCAAGCCAAATTCAGTTCTTTTATTGCTTACACCATATAGACAGAATCTTGCCAGACTAAAACTGTACTATTCTAACCTAGTGGATATAGCCTGGTAGATTCAAGAGAGTGGCTCTCCTAACTCTCTTCCTCTTCCCACGATCCAGCTCCTGTGTTGTCTCTTGTCTCTCCCCCCCCCCACCTTCTTGGAATGTGCTCCTGCCTTCTTGAGAACCTGCTTCAATACTTTGTCCATCACACCACCTCCCCTTTCATAGACACATTCCATCACATGAAGTGACTATTTGAGGTTACAGTTAAACAGGGAGTTTCATTCTTCTTTACTTAGTAATTATCTGACTATATAAACCTTACTTTAATATTTCACTAATAACCAAAGGGAAATCCTTGTTGGATGAAAGCAGCATCAATGCAATTCATCTGAAAATATGGTCAGAAACTCCTTACTTAATAATTAATGCCTCCAATATTGAATTTTTCTCCAGTTTTGGTAGATGGGGCTACACTGACCTCATTATAGAAGAGAGGAAAGGATGGGCAACTTTTTTTTTCCAGTCTCCATTTTTCTTCTCAATAAAATTCTATGCTGTGAATCTAAATTCTTTAACAAATGCATTTGATTTCAAGTTAGCTTCTAGGCTATATTTATACATTCAGTACCAAATGTATATTTTCATAGCCCCTTCAGTTAAAAATGGCTATTATATATATATATATATATATATATGTGTGTGTGTGTGTGTGTGTATGTATGTTTGTATATAATTGCTATTATTTATTTTTCAGATGCAGATTACTGTTTTCAGTGTTCAGAAGCCCAATACCCAAACAAAGCTCGCAATCTTTGCATTCCAAAGCACATCATATTTTTGTCTTCTGAACATCCTCTGGGACTCACGTTGACAACTATTGCTTTATTTTTTTCTGTCACATCAGCTTTGGTGCTTCAGATCTTTATTAATCATCAGGACACTCCCATAGTCAAAGCCAACAACAGAAACCTCACCTACATTCTTCTCATTGCTTTTCTGCTCTCCTTCCTTTGCAGTTTGCTCTTCATTGGGCAACCTGAACAAGTGAAATGTCTCATGCAACAAACTGCTTTTGGCATCATCTTCTGTGTAGCAGTTTCTTGTATATTGGGGAAAACAACCATTGTGGTTCTTGCTTTCATGGCCACAAAGGCAGGCTCTAAAATGAGGAAATGGGTGGGAAAAAGGCTGGGTAACTTGATTGTCCTATCTTGCTCCTTGGCACAGTTCACCATTTGTGTAGTGTGGCTGGCTATTTCTCCCCCATTCCCAGATTCTGACATGCATTCCATGGCTGAAGAAATTGTCTTGCAACGCAATGAAGGTTCAACCACAATGTTTTATGCTGTCCTTGGTTTTATAGGATTCTTGACTACTATTAGCTTTACAGTGGCGTTCTTTGCTAGAAAGCTACCTGACAGCTTTAACGAAGCTAAATTTATCACCTTCAGCATGTTGGTCTTTTGTAGTGTCTGGGTATTATTTGTTCCCACTTATCTGAGCACCAAGGGCAAGTACATGGTGGCGGTGGAGATCTTCTCCATTTTGGCTTCTGCAGCTGGATTACTGGGCTGCATCTTTTTCCCCAAATGCTACATTATTGTTCTGAGGCCTGATTTGAACAGAAAGGAGCAGCTAATAAAGAAATAAAATTGTTTTTTGTTTTTGTTTTGCTCTACTATGCTATAAATCCTCTAAATTGTGACCTGAGACTTGTTCCTCTGATTGAGAGGCTGTGGTTTTTCCTTTTTCTTTGAACCATAAATAAATATGTGAAGCATGCGTGAAATTTTGCAATGCAGTTCTCATAATCAAGTTACTTTGTATGTAAAACATATTATAGGTGGCATTTTTGTGAGAAACAGAGAATTAGAATGCAGCTGCCATAAGAGCTACTGAAGGCTGCCCCAGAAAAAAAGAGTTACTATAAAAAAACGAGGAGGGATAAGCTAGCGAGAAGAAGAAGATGACGAAGAGGAAGAGGAGGGATAAAGGTTAATATATAAGATTAGAAGCTTCTTTTTCACATGTGGCACTAAAATCTATGGCTTATTTATTTGCTTTAAATTCATAGACATAAAAGGGAAGAAAAAATAGAAAAATAAATCTTGTAAAAACTGTTGACAATAATTAAAAAAAATAAAAGTGAATTGTGAAGTGAGAAAAGAGGATATATATGTAAGTGTTTATGTATCTGATGGAGGCAACAGTCAGGGTGCACTAAGTAGAACTGGGTTCAAGGTGAACTAACAGTTCTTGCCTTCCAGTGTCTTGCAAGGTGGAATTCCAGGCATGCATTAAAGAAAACACAAAGGGATCAAGCTATGGTCTTCTTCTGTTGTGAAAACCCAGCCAATTAACAGGCATAGGACCGCACCACATGAAACTTTCCCATGGAAAAAACAAACCTCATTACTGCAAATGGAGTTTCGTAGAAAAATTAACTTCTAACAAATCAATCTTCCCTTTTCAGTGTAAATAACTGTTGAGTCTTTTTTAATTCCAATTTTCACCCAGCTTTTTGTAAATTATTGAGATTCAAATTCAATCTCCATTTCTCCTTTTAAAACTAGAGTCTCAAAAAGAAGGATAAGCCCCAAGATAATCACTTATCTCTTGTGAAGGAAGGTCTCTCTTAAGTTGAAAAATAATTATAGTCCACAGTGTCTAGAAATGAGGTTCAGTTGTCTTTAGTGTCTATAAAAGGCTGCAGTGCAGCTGCGAATGACGATTGGTGTCCTGCCTCCTGGCCGCTCCACCCAAAAGCCATTCATAGAGGCTTTTATCTGCATGATCAGCTTTTGAGGAACAACCATCCAGAGGGCCAGATAGGGTGATTTCACACTTCCTTCTTGATCCGGGGCAAGTTAAGCAGCCAGTGCTTACTGCCAGCCACTGATCAGCTGTGATGTCATCTCCGGTAATTCAAAGATGCCTAAGCCGCCATTAATCCCCCACCAGAAGCCTCTAAATTTCAGTACTTTCAACCACATATTTTCCCATTGTTCCATCTGTATATTATAACCAAAGGTTTAGCCCACTTTAACACATATTCCATAACTTCTTCTTCTTCTGTTTCAAATTTCAGTACATTTTAGACATTTTAGCAATGACATGTTCAACATTGCTACACATATCTGCTTCAAAACCAGTGTTACAATGTTCAATACCATAAATTATTTTATCTACTTTAAATCATTCTGATAACTGTCAATAAGAAAACCATTGACCACAGTGTCCCTCTGTCATGAGTTATTCTCTTACAGTAATTTTATTTTCTATTTCCCTAGACAAAATTCTAGTATCTCATGATATGTTAACCATTTGTGTTTGCTTATTATTTTTCGTCAATAGAATCTTTCTTTTGCTGAGAGCCACAAGGGTGTTCTTGAGCACAGCCTGGATTTGTGTCTATTCCATATTTTCCATATGGCACGTCGAACATAATGGTTTTTGATTTCTACATTAATCTTGACTTTATCGTACCACAAATATCCATGCCACCCAAATCTCAGGCCATGTCCTCCTAACTCTATAAATCTTCTATTTCTCAGCAACACCCACTCATTCATCCAAACCAAAAAAAGCTGCAGACTACAATTTCAAACCAGGTACACTTTCCTTTCCTGTTTTCTTCATCAGTTCTGTTTGATCCTCTATTTTCATGTTTTTTTGTTAACATCTTCATCTCCTGATGATTAATCTTAAAACCTGCTAGTGTACCACATTCTTTTCATTTTCCCATTAATGTTTCCATTTTGTTTATGGATCCTCCAAAACCAACACCAAGTCATCAGCAAGTGCCCTTAACTTATAAGTTTCTTTTTTTATCTTTACTCCCACAATTCTTTCATCTTGTGTTTTATTTTAAGAACTAAAATAAATAGAAAAGGATACACAGACATCCCTATCTTGTCCTTTTTTGTATTAAACAGGATTTTATTAGATCTCAATCGACAATTATTGGTGCTTTCTGTGAAGTGTAAATCAATCTTAGCCATTTAATAAAATTCTCTCCAAAATTCCTAACTTTCAAATTTTAAACAGGAAGGCCCAGTTTGTATTGTCAAAGGCCTTTTCTGTGTCTAAAAATCAATGTGGCTTCTTTTTCATTATGTTGACCCAAGCATTCCAAAATATTGAACATATTTCTTACATTATCCTTTAACTCTCTTTTAGCCAAAAACCCACATTGTTCTTCATGAATAAATTCTTGCCAAACTGGTTGCAAACAAGGTATAGTCACAGTTCAATAATGATATTGGACAATATTTTCTTGTTAAAGTCAAATCTTGTCCCTCCTTAGGTATTAATGCTACATTAGCTTCTTTCCAGTTCCCTGGTATCCTTTCCATCTGCAAAATACTATTCAATGTATTTTGTAAAGGTTGTAAAAGTCCATCCTCAAAGCATTTATGGTAAGAAGCTGGTAACCCAACTGGTCCAGGCACCTTTCCTGTTTTAGTCTTTTTTATAGCTTTGCAAACTTCCCTTATTGTTATACGTCCATTCATAATCTGTTTCTGTTTCTCTGTAATCTTCAGTAAATTTTGTTTCTTTAAATATTTGTGTATTTTCACCAGGGAAATTTCTTGTCCTTTGTATGAATTGGAATAATATTGATGAAATACTTTTTTGCATAGCCACATTATCTATTACAGAATCTCCCTCTTGTAATTTCAATATCATTTTCTTTCTTTTTCTTTACATAATTTTTATGCCAACCACTCCCCTGGTTATTTCTTTTCTCTTACCTATTCTTTTTGAATTCTTACACTGTATAAAGTAAGCTCTCATGAAAGCTTTGCTTGCATCTCAAATCATTCTTATCTATCTACCCTTATAAAATTTATTATAAAAAAAAACCCTTGAATTTCTTTTTTCAGTCCTCCACTATTCTCTCTGTAACAGCATTTAACCTCCATCTGAAAGAACTGGGTTTCCATTTATAAACCAAACTGACTGGATTATGATCTGAAAAGGTCTTTGGTAATATCTCTACTTTATGTTCCTTTTTAATCAAATTCTTTGAAATCTGAATCATGTCTATTCTCAAAAAAGCCCTGTATCTTTCAGAAAAATAATTGTAGTCTCTTGAATTGCCATGTTTATATTTCCACACATCAACAAGCTCCAAGTTGTCCATCAAATTAAAAACAAAAAATCTTCGGTTATTTTTCCTTATATTACTTTAGTATTAAAACAATGTTCTATAAACTTTATGGACATATAAACTTAAGGACAGACTAATGGATTTTTTAAAATGAAAATTTATGTTTAATGCAAGATTGGAATGGAGTGATCTCCCCACAAATAGAACTTCTGAGGACAAAATGATAATAATAGTTCATGTCCATTCTCAAACTAGAGACCCCACACCTATCACTTTTTGCCAGGGACTCATACCGGGGTTCAAGACATACCCCAACCCCCTCCCCCTAGTATAAGGCCTGCAAGTTCAAATTCCAGTAATAGGTTGAACTTCCATATAGAAGAGCCAATCATGGAAGCTACCTATGCTTTTGTTCTGTTCTTTTTTGTGTGCCTTCGAGCCAGAGTTGAACCCTAGCGATTGCCTGGACACGTCCCGCAGTTTTCTTGGTGAGATTTCTCCGAAGGGGTTTGCCATTGCCTCCTTCCTACAGCTGAGACGGAGTGACTGCCCCAAGGTCACCCAGGTGGCTTTGTGTGCAAGGCAGGACTGGAACTCATGGTCTCCCAGTTTCTAGCCTGATGCCTTAACCATTCCACCAAAGTATATTAAGAATATGGCTCTCTACATATTCTTAATGACTCCCAAGACAAGATGGAACGGGACATACAGTGGCTTGCAGTGGCCAGTAGCAAACACAACTCCTTTCAGGACATTGCTCCCTGCCACTGGGTTAGATCCATGTGCAATCACCAGTGCCCTTTTGCTGGCTATACCATCATTAACATATTGAGGAAATAATTTAGGTTGGCATGGCCAAAAGAAGAAAAAGAAGAAAAAGAAAAAAGAAAAAGAAAAAGAAAAAGAAAAAGGAGCTGTGATTGATATTTCATGGTAGGCATTTCAATTTTTAATTAGACATTTTCTCAACTGGAAAATTTGGAGCATTCTAGTATTTCTCCATTCTCCTTTTTGAGATTTCACAAATTAGAGAAGAAGCTGACCTTTTTACTTTTCTGAAATATTTTTTCAGGCTTGAATATTTGATCTTTAATTACAAGCTTTAATTGTCATGGCATTGAAAAATTGGCCACAGATGATTTTATTAAAAAAAGTAGAATGACGTATTCCACAGCCACATAACACCAAAAGGTTCCCCACGCATGGGGTGATTTGCCCTATCATTATCAAATTCTCCATTATTATCTGCAAGTCCCTAAGGAGATTCAAGAAGCAAAATATAACAACGAATTAAAACAATAGAATATATTACTACTTCTCTGGGCAGGTGAGACTGGAGAGATAACACTGTTTCAGTCTTATTCTTCACAGAGTATGTGTCAGGCAAAGGAAGGATTGTTCTGCACAATGATTTCATTTCTTGCAACATTATTAGTGATATTGCCTCATATCACATGCTATATTCCTCCCGGTAAATGTAATGTAGGGGACCCACTGTTTATTATGCACAAGAAATATCATTCAGAAGATCTGGTTA